CTCAAACACAGGGATGAACACCTTCGATCGGATGACATGGAGCTCCTCCGACTTGGCCAGCGGTCTCATTTCATGGAAAACGAACAAGCTGAGCAGCTCCGAGTTCAACCACTGGCCCGAAGAATTATTAATTATCGGCGATTCCGCTAAAGCCATGATTCTGAAAGAAGGATCGATACGCAACACCCCCGAATCCAGCAAATCTGCGTCCGACTTATTATATTCCTTCTTTATTTCGTCGTAACGATCAGCCCTGATCAGTCTCTTGCCATCGTGCAACTGCAATTCACGATCGTGAACCAATCTAGGAAACGAATCGAAATGTGTCATTGGAAATCGTTCTCAAACGCTTCGTCCAATCAACCCGAAACGACGTATACCTGTGCAATACAGCTAGAGTACTAGGATGGATCCTATTAATTCCATCCAATATCACCAATTTCCCTTGCAGGGCCGCGTCAACCAGTGGCGAGTCTTTCCAAACGGTATCACCGTTGGACAGAGTGGTTCGTTGTTGTATCAGATCTCTGGATGTCATATCCTGAGAAGATATTTCAACCGTTTCAAACGAATTGTTACAAACAGTGGGAAAGTGCTGTATCTCTACACGATTTTTAGTTTCGTATTTTCTAAGAAAAACAATCTATTCATAATTCTCCTACAATGCACAATTTCCCTGCAAGATATACAGCATAAAGGATTTCCTAAAACCTGCTTTTAGAATTTCGATTTTTTATTCAAATACAAACGGTGTGGAATATATCCGATTTTTACAAAAATTTTAATACTGATTTTTAGATAATTAAATGTGTAGTATAGTATAGTATACAGGATGTCGCAGAATTAGTGTAAGAATTGGAAATTCTGAACCACAATTTCCGTTGCAAAAATGTCGGATGATGCTTCGTTAATAATTCAAAAATTATTTCCCCATTTCCAATTCTTAATTCTGGAACACCTCGTATAGTATGGACCGTATATCTCGACCAAATTTTATTAACAGTAATTATTTATCTCTGACCGTTTATAATTTTAAAAGTTACGTACAAAACAGTTTCGATAAGTTGTTTTGTTGTGTGTATCACTTACCTCTACATGAAAGTCGCTCGAGCCGTGATTGAATATTAATACGTAACACTTACCTGATAAAGTACCACAGGTTCGACTTGGTACCCCATTAAATCGGCCAACGTCTGCACAGTTGTAGATTTCCCGCAACCTTTTGGACCAATCAGACACAAGTCCCCAACCAAGTGCGACTCCAGCATGCTTGCCAACAAGTTATTCTGGTAATTCGTCTCTACGTATTTATTTTGTTTTGCATTGTCGTTTATATCTTTGGAACCACAAGGAACCTAAAGATGAAGTACACATTGAAACATGACGATATTTCAACCATTTAGGACCTCAAATCTATTTTTCTCTCTGTCTGGGCTTTGCTGACTGATAATTTTATTGTTTGGACATAGAGATAAAGTATAAAATATATTCGGGAAAAATCATTGCACATCCCTTAACACGTTGGTCGTCACGTCACCCAGAAATTGGTGACAGGACTTTTCATTAAGGAGATACAAAAATTAATTCCAAAGATGAGGCGACAATGAAAAATAAATTTGGACGCGATTTGTGATTTTGGCGGGATTATAAAATTAAACTGTACGACGAATGTTAAATTATCTAATTTTCAATAGTCTCGAGACAAAATGTTAACTTCATACAAATTTTCACGTGTTTTATAGTCTGACAGCCAACGTGTTAAAAGATCTGTTTCTTATTCATAGTGCTTCTAAATAATTTCATCAATGAATTGTGCTACCATCAGGACCTAAAGATTCGATCTTTTTCGATGTTTACCATCACTTACATTCAGCGTGGTTTTCACGTTGCCATGTTGTATCGTAACGCTCAACGAATCGTTCGTTTTTTCGTTTACGTTTACACGTCGTGTAACCTTAGCATCGTTCGTCCCTGTATCCAGGATATTAAAGGTTGAAAGTATATCTTCGACGGCTGTCTGACCCTCTTTCCCCAGAAACAATTTATACGGATAGAACCTGTAAAACACGTCCAATACCGACAGGTGCGGGCACTTGTCCTGCGGTAATTAACCAATGCTCAATTAGACCAACAAATTCGTCCAGTGAATGGAGGTTCGAAGACGAACGAATATTTACCATTATAATAGCAGCTGACGTTAGATTATCTAATGGAAAATCTGGAAGACCTAAGGACATAGCTTCTTGCGTGACCAAAGCGTGCGCGCATGATAATAGTTGAGACAATTTCCCCTTATCGACGTCTGGGACTAAGTTTCTCAAAGTTTCCAACTGATCCTAAAATGGAACAATTCTAGAAAATAGACTTTACCAAAATTTTAATTGTAAATGATTTCTGAACGATGTGAACACTTTTCAGAGTACTATACAGGAGAGCGACGAATATTTGTTCGATCTCGGAAGCGATAACAAAATATTAATTTGTTCGATGTTGCCATTTTAGTGGTCATCAAATGAAAGAGAGAGAGCCAATAAATTGGTGAAAAGATATCCTGGGTTCGCGATTCTTTTTACAAGTGTACATTGATAAAACTACAAAATCATGTTCTGCGGTGAGTATTTAAAATATTTTTCGGACATATTCGACTGCAACGCTTTATAATTTCCACCCCGTACGTACAGAGACGACAAAAGTAATGGTATTTAAGAAAGGAGGAGGAACGGGAAAGGAAAAGTGTAAAAACAACAAAAACTACTATATATTCGTTAAAAAAAAAGGGTTGTTTTCATTTCAAAATGACGCAAGTAAAATTGTCTCCGGTTCTTAGACTAACAAATTGATAGACTTCCAGCACTTTCATAATCGACGGCTCGAGTAGAAGCTTCTTTTGATTTTCGAGAAACAGTTAATAATTCTCGACATCTGCTTTCCAGCAACGAGCAGAGTCTTAATCGCATTACTTCCGCGAAGTGTCCGCATTGTTTCGGTATGCCTAAAAACCGGATACCTCGTGTAATCGTGAACAACCGCACGTTACAAAATATTACACCACGATTTGTTTGAAACAGTCCACCGAAGTGATTAGCACCAAGAGAGCTTTCCAACGCGAGCCAAGCACGGGCGTAACTACCACTCGGCACGAAATCCTCGAGATAGCTTACTGATTTCCATCGGAAAGTTTCAATTGGGCTACATTCTCGGGCCTATCGACGCGATAATCGCGGACTCGATGAAAATACGAGGCTATACATCAAGCGGGAGAAACGGAGAAATTCCAGAGGAATCTATTCGACTTGGATCAGTTCCCATTCTTTTTAAATTTCTGACCTATAAGAGAGGAAAGTATTATAATCAAAAAGAATTTTGACAAAATCTCTTAATTTAAACGCTTTGAAACCTATTGTGACATTCAAGTCCACTCCTATGAAATTCGTTTTTAATTGTTGAATAGCTGCACAAGCTTTTTTTTTGGAAATTTGTTAAAGACAACTCTATAAAATGATATAAGACCAAGATGGACGTCTAGATTTTAAAAACTGTTGAGAAATTCAGTAAATGAAGGGTCGATGAATGAACGAATAAATAAATTATAGTTTAATAGCTTCTTCCGCGTTGTGTAACTTTTATTCGACAAATTTACCTCTAACGGCTATCATTTCAGGAATAATTAAAACGTTAACAGTAAATGTACTCTGCCTGGACTCCGTTATTCGCAGACATGCTACCATATAATTAGACTTAAACTTGCGGGGCACCCATCAATCTCGAAAATGTGTTTAAATACGGAAGAAAATGCAAATCTTGCGCCAAACGAGCATTAATGAAACGTCTATAGAACTCGATAGCACGCTACATTTCGACGTCGCGTTTAATGTCACTTGTAATTACTTTTATAATAGCGAAAACGATTTGAAGGGACTACTGCGATGTTAATTAACCGCAAAACTGTCTTCTGTGAATCGTAGGTTCAGATAAGATCGACACTCTGTTCCTTGTACGTAGCGATAAATATCGCCGAGTGACAAACTTCTGCAAACTTCTTGAAATATTTCGCCAAATAATTACGGGATTAATGCTTTGTTCCGAGGTACTGGCACGCGATCGAATAAGTCTTATAAATTATCGAAGTTCAATGTACCTAACAGCACGAATCGAGTATTACCGTATAAGAATGTTCGATATTTGTTTATTATGCATTTACGACGTAGAATAATGTAGAAAATATACGTAAATAAAATATACATAATATGTGTTGAATATACTCTACAATGAATATAATAATATTGTTATATTTTTTTTAAGTTTATTATATTTATTATAGTTGTCAGTTGTTTTCTATTTATTCTGTTTTTTGTTTTTATTAACTCACTCGAAACTATGCAACCAGTACAACTTTATTATTATTAAAAATGACTTTTGTGTTATATCAGGTTCCATATAAAAACCGCCTAACTAAAATATTTTGTCTGACAGCTTGAAAATGAATCGAGTTCGAAGGAGCTAAAACTGTGCGAGGACAGATACAAAACAAAACTCATTAGCGTAAAGCAAGTTCACCCTCTAAACTGGAACACGTGTCACGAAATTCTAGAGTATAGTATTGTCGTTCCGTCACGGAAAACCGTTCTGAAACAGTTAATGCCTCGTGCCTTCTAATTACATTTGACTTTCGAAGTAATTCTAGTAACTATTATCACCGTTTCGAGTTTACAAATATGCCAGTTAACAAACATTGCCGCCCGTAAACGTGTAAACTCATTCGTCGCGACGTCTCGCGCCGGCACCAACCCCCTTTTACTTCTTCACGCCGTGAATAATGGATATCGAATTGGCTCTCGATAAAATGGAATTCATTACGACGTATCGAGCGCCGACGAAGAGTAACATAAATGGAGCCGATTAGTTCCGACCGAAGAATCGCCGTGAAAATAGAGAAACAAGGTAGAGGATTAAATTGAATTTACACGCGGCCGAGTTAATATTTAAACGCATTAAAAGCAAGGTAAGTTATAGTAAGGAATCTAATCTCGACGCTGACCCAGTTATTGACACTTTCCATTTAATTTAGTAATACGATTACTAGCAATCTAAAAAAAAAGCATCGTGTTTGTTATTTTCAGTGAATTATAACGATACTTTAAAATAAAAGTACATTCAACGCTTGTTAGTTCGAAAAATTTAAACAAAAACTGCAAGTTGTCGGTACGAGCATTACTGTTTAATTGTATTGTTTACTGTACCAGACAAATATTACTTTGAAAATTAGAACTAGAACTATAATTACCTTTGCGGCGTCAGCATTAGAAGAACGTACGCCATTTTTTCTACCCCTAGAGACCACTAAAGCATTGAAACGTTCGACTAATCTAAGTCGACTTACGAAATTGTCTTTACGGATGAGGTTTACGCGAACAAGTCGGCTTTCATGGCAGAAAGTAATGTTCGTTTCGAAACACGCTACGCGTAAAAAGTTTGATACGAGTTACAGAACGGCTACGATGTTACATGCGAACGTAGTCGTCGAGTATAATAGCTCGAGTATTCTCGCTTCTTTAATCGTTGATTAATGATTCTAGCGAAGACGCGTTCTCTTCGCAAACGAGATTCGGCATCATTATGTGCAGCTGAAGGCGTCCAGGAGGAGACCACATCGACGACGCTTTTCTTTCTGTTTGAACTTTGTTTCTCACGTGTTCCTTCGATTTCACGCACGGTTTCAAAAGACTCGAGGACGTTTCGCCGTTTTCTGAACACTCTTCTCTCGTACACTCTATCTTAGGCAACCTTTTTACCTTATTCTCTTCGCTTCCAACGTGCTCAGGATTACGCTCCTTGTATAATTTGTAATTCTGTATAGCCACCCGTTCCCTTTCCACGAAGGACTCGCGCTTGAAACGCGGAAACCTTCTTTTAACAGGACTCCATTTTCTCTCCTCGTCGCGGGGCGAACTTTCCACCGAGTCCTCCTCGAAGTCGTAGCTCTGAGCTCTTCCCGACAAATCCAGCCATTGGAGGACCCTTTCGAACAACGGATTCCAGAAAGTATCGAGCGTTCCCTGCGCCTGTTTGCACTCCATTATGTTTGGCTTAGAATCGCGCTCCGATTCTGCTGATCTTCCACGAGTTCCATCCTTGAAATGAAATTAAAGTTGCTTGGCAGTTTCTGAAAACTAAATTTAACGCGCAAGCAGCTGGCATTATTATTTAGAATAATGTACGTTTCGACCTTTTGTTTTGCACTTCTTCGGCATACAAAATTATAATGTCGGACAGCGAGTAAACTTCTAGACTTAGGAAACAAGTTTCACCTCGCAGAGCATTCAACGAACACTTTCCTTGAAATCGTGTAATGTTTTTAATGAAAAATGTGTAATTAGTACTCACCTGCATTTCGTCTTTAAAAATGAAATGATAGTAACGAAATCTTCAAATTATAATATTAATATTTTTCGTACGTAGGAAAGGTTTTATATACACATACTAAAATTGTATCAATTTTGCAAATATATATAAAATATTTTATAATAATGGGTGCGAATATACTGTACATAGAGATATTACGAATTATAGTTCAACTCCTAGCTAGGACTGTCTTCCGAATCTCAATTATATCGATGTATTAAAAATTCATTTTACTTTATTTTAAATTATTCATTGATATATGACTAATATTTTCACGTGTGGATCAATCCACGCATGATAACACTCGTAATCTACTCTCAACTTTTTTAATTAAGAAAATTTCGTACAAGACAAGAAACGTAAATTATTTTAAAGAAAAATGCTCATACTGACTACCTGCATATACAATTCATCCTTAAAAATCAGTTTCCAGATGAGGATGTACCTTTCGTTTCCCAATTCGACGATCTCGATGAACCTTTTCAACTTTTCCGTTGTCGTCGAACGAGGATTCTCCTTCAGTATTAAACGTCGGAGTAGTCATTCGAGGATAAGGAGGCGCAGATAGTTTGCGATACACCTGCGAGGACGTCTTGCTCTCGAGATGGTTGTTGCCAACGACCACGTGCAGATTCGCGAAGCAGTTGTTCAGATGATTCAATTCCGATTCGGGGTGCTGATAGTTCGTGGTGTAACTTTTATTTCTGGATGAACGAGATCGTCGTCGCGATTCAGTATCTACCAGAGGATCGTCCGGTGACAAAATCGCGTGTCTGATACCGTCCACCCACACTGTGCGAACGGATATCGGTCTTTCCGACGATGACCATATAGCTGGCATTCTTCGTCGCGTAGAAAATGTAAAATGTGTTTATTATAGTTGAGTTCTTGGCTACATACACTCGATGATGAACATATAGTTGGCATTCTTCGTCGCGTTGACGATTTAAAATGTTGTGTTTTTTATTGAAATTGAGTTCTCGATTGTAACAGTTAACTCACTCGGCGACGTACGATCATTGTAATTTTGTTATTAAAATTTGTGTCATTTAAAGTTCCACGTAAACATTTCATAAAGGGAGTGTTCTTTCGGTAGCTTTAAAGTAAATTATTCTGAAATGGACTCGAGGGGTTAAAATGGCGCCAACATAGATTTCACGCGTGATCACACGAAACGTGAAACACGTTAAAAGTTTTAAGTTTTTTTTTAATATACATAGACGTTCGCTTAATTCCTCTTTCTTAACGACCTTTTCTTCACATAGAAATATATATCTACCATGTACAGAAAAAATTAATTATATCGCAAGATCATCAATCGAATTGTGTAATGTTTACTTTTCGTAAAATGTCTTTTCCTTGTCTCGTGCTCTATCATTATATAACTTGTATATACAGATAAATGCTTCATGTAAAATCTTATTATCCGCAGTTATTGAATTCTGTGATGCAGGGTTCATGTTCGATAAAATTCCAGCTGTATCTATTTCCTAACACGCTGTTCTTAGACACGTATCTACCATTTAAACGAAAAATTAATTGTATCGCTGGGTAAACTATAGAATTATATAAAGTCTACTTTTTCAGAAATGTCCCTTGCTTTTCGCGCCCTTTCGTCATTATTATTTCTAGACACGGGTTAACGTTTCGTGTAAATTTTGATTGTTCGCAGTTTGTCCGATGCAGCGTTCACATTCGACCGAATTCCGACGTATCGACTCTCGGCTGAACAGAAGGACAAAACACGCGTCCGCTGTTCGGGACACGCGATCCAAACTGCGACGACTGTGACCATAGCGCAGCGACGAACAGTTTATATAGGAAGGAAACCAGCACCGGAAGGGGATGGCTGACTGGAGGGGTTGGTGCGACCTCCGCACCCCATGTCCGATGGTACGTCGTTGCGTTTCCCGTAAATCAGCCAAAACTCCAGCGACTTGCACGTGCCGTTGTCTCCGCCGAGCCGCGACAGTAATTACAAAGCATTGTCGTGTGATTCTTGCGTGTTTTCGAACCACTAATGAGGAAAATGTATTTGCAGCAGTGGCTCTGAAGGTAGTTGTTCCGTAGATTTATTTAATGGAGATTTTTAACAAAACTTCGCTTGATTGTTACTTGATTAAATACGAAACATAGGAATCCAGCGAGGAGGTTGCTGGATTACGTTTCATTTTGGCCCTAAAAAGGGCCGATCGTGTACGCCATATTAGCGGCTCGTCACTCTCGCAGTATTTTGTAACTTCAAGTAAAATGTATAAAACACATTTAATATTTCGTATTCCATTTCGGTGGCGGAGATCCTCTTCTAAACGTTCTTGCATATTAATAACTTAGTAAGTCGAGATACTTTAAATAAGAAAATAAAGTATCCTTTGTATTTATCGATTAACATGCGCTCTGGATAATAAAATCGATGTTCAATGTGGATCCTTTCCCATAATGAAGTTTCGAAATTTGAATGTATCGATATTCGTTGTAAAACACACGAATAAATTCAAAATGGCGTAACTCGGTCAAAATAAATCGTACATAATTTTTTTGCAAATTGATGGCTGAAGCATGCACGTTGCGAGAAATCTCCAAAACTACTGTTCTGATTGACTTCAAAGTGTAAAATATTCATATTTTATAGTATCCTTAATATTCTCCTTAGCTATAAATTTTTAGTACATAAATTTGTATGTCCAAATAATGCAGACTTTTCTCATTGTAATATAACCTTACAATGTAAAATGGTGGACCCACTCGTCATATCGTAGTTTCACGAAATTGAGAAGAATTTTATCAATGTACAGTAACAACTGTAATTTTCTTAGTCTTAATAATCTTTTCACACTACTATCTTTAAACTAAATAAGTTACTTTGGTATAAAGTAACTTTCAAGACATCTTTACCGAATTAATAATTGAAATATACTTACTTCGAACTTCGGTGGTGGAATGTGCCGCGCTTGAAACCTAGATCTAAGAGGAGGATCGAGAGAATGTCCAGGATATCGTGGCGATGGCAAACCTAATGCAATAACTCTGAAGTCTTCACTAACTCTGACAAGTCGCCAAGCATCTAATTCTTGTTGGCTGTGCGCCTGAAACATATAATCGATAAATTTGAAACAAGTCTATCAAATTATTCGATTGGTAATACCAAATATTAGCAAAAAGAGATAAACGATACCTCAAGTAACTTGTCATAACGTGTTGCAGGGATAAGAAATCTACCATCTTCTAAATGCATCTCACGGTTTTCTAATAAATTATTTAAAACGGGAAGCACATTTCGTTCAGCTTTCTCGACACCTTCGATAATGAGAATTCTTCCATTTGTTGCTGCTCTCACTGCACTCTGATCATGATAGTAAGCAGTGCCACTTTTAATTTCTCTCCTTTGTTTCAAATCTGCTTCAGTAGTATCTCTTGATAGTGCAATAAATTCTAATTCACGTCCAGTGAGTTCAAGAAATGCTAGAGCTAATTCTCTTCTTCTAATTCCTGGACTACCCATTAAGAAAATATCTTGGGATAAAATATCCTTTTGGAGCATCCATCTTAAGTGTCTCATTGAGTCTTGAGTAGATGTCTTTAATACTATCAATCAATTGATCAATTAATTTCTTTCTTCTATAGAACTACAAAGAGTTAAATTATTTGTAAGAAAATATATTTAACTTACAATACTTTCTTGGTACGTATTCAGGATTCTTCGCAGCTTTGACTTGCTTTGAAACATCACCAATAGTGACAACTACATCATCTGTAATGAAAATAAGATAATTAAGTATCGACATGTCGAGAATATCTGTGTTATCGAACATTCATTGAACTTTCGTCCAACTTACCAGATTTGCAGCGTATAAACGGTGACAGGTTAGGGGAAACGACTTTTGATTTTTCTAACACTCTTGATGCAGTTGACATGCGACGAAGGTTGCAAGAAACGAATGACATTGTTTAACTTAACTATTGTTACAAAACATAACCAATAATATCTTTGTAGTACATGTAAGTAAATGTTTCTTAAAATATACGTGAACAGTAAATACTTTAACACAATAATGATTACTATGCTATTTATTATACGACGTGTTAATATATATAAATTGATACGAATAAATGTTTTCATTAGAGTTAGAGTTTCATAACCTTATAACATTACTTCTATTCGATAAAGCACATTTAAAACAAGTAAGAAGTAACCTAAATTCTAGTGCAGTACTATTTAAGGTTAAATACAAATGTGAATGTACGTCATTTACAGTAATTAAGCCGAACGAATAAAAAAAGTTATAAATATTTAACAAAGAAATTATACTTCAACAAAACTTATAAAATACCTTATTGTATCTGGATTATTGTTAATTCTCTCTAAATTAAGATCACTTTTATCTAAATATGATTTTAATTGAGAAATTATAATCGAAATATAATACACCAGTGAATTCTAATATTCGTAAGTATTAACAATTTTTACAGTATAGATTACATCATTTAAACTATGAGAATCAATCCAAAGGTCATTTAAAGATATGGAGTACATATTTCTATTGATGTTTGCTAACTAAGAAATTAATAAACGTTCATGGATTATGACATAACTCTTTTATTATCACACTGAAAATTATTACAATAATCCTACAGATTATGTTAATATCAACATATACCTTACTTCTACCTAAACATTTTACTAATAGCTTCATAAATTAAATCATTACGTAGAAAATAAACAGTCTTTCTGTAGTTTATCACTTCCAGAATATTTAATATACAAATAAACTTTGTACTCGATGATAAATACTTGTAAGCATTAAATTCAAATAAAAATATGTTTCATATTTAATATAAATGATTATATCATACAAATTACTTGCAATGTTCTATATTGCATTTCAAAAATTTTTAAAGAAATTGTAATAATAATACAAATATAAGTGAGTTGTAGTTTTTTTCTTTTGTTTAACTTCGGTTATTTATTTCCTTGCAAATTATCGTTTTTCTTAAGTGCGATTATTCTGTATAGTAACTCATAACATTAAGTACTTTATGCACAGTATAAAATGTAAATAAATTACTTAAGATTAATATCTATACAGTATATCACATATTTTAAAAGGTACAAAGATCTACTTTGATTCCTACATGTCATTCATTCTACACTATTTAGGCAGTAAACCGGAAATGGGAAGTAATTGCAAAAAAGAGTCCCTTTGTAAGAAACTAGAGGTTATGATAAGCCATTGAGTCACTCTATAACGTACTTAATTCGTATATGCAAATGCTTTTCGTAAAATTTGACCAAGAAGATTATTATGTGCTTGATATTAATTTAAAATAATCGGAATTAATACGTAATAAACAGGTGATATGTATAAGAGATAGTATGGATTAAACATATCATTATTTTTTAAGTTTCTCAAATAAGGAGGAGAGGGAATATTTATTCGTTTCGAAGCGTCTTTTAATACTGAATAAACATTTGTATGCAACTATGGTTGTCCTACAATCATCATGGTGGTAATTCGTCTCTTTTACCCTGTCTATTTGAAACGTAATTTATTCAACTTTTATCAAGTTCACGTGAATACAGGAATACCATTGCGATTTTGCAATGAGTTACACATAGGAACCAAGAGAATAAAAACTTCTTATAGGTTGTACATAATAAAATATTCTTCAATTATCCGAATTTAAAAATTTCTCTAAAAAAAAAAACGAATAAATTTTAGGTTAATGTGCAAATGGTTAAAAACAAGTAGAATGTTAATAAATCGAAAAGATTTACCTCTACAAGATCGTCTGTTCTTCGAGCATTGGCAGGGTAATAATCAACAATTAATGGACGCGGTCGTTGACCAATACCAGACGGTTGCTGCAGTCCACACGATTGTTCTTCATTTGTAATTACATTTACTAAGGTACTCACTACCTTTTCGTCCAACTGTGACATAGCTTTGTTCGGCGTTTTCATACGCCTTAAAAATAAAGCATTCCACTTTTGTCTTAAATGTAAGAAAAACCGTGCGGTTTCAGGATCAAGTTTAAATACAACCCAATCATCGAGTTTAAAAATCGTTCCTTCGTTGCTTTCATCGACCTCGGAATCTGACTCGCTTTCTGGTACAGCTGTATCAATAATAATATACCGATAACTTATAGTGTCACTCCAAATAACACGCAATACGGTACTACTTACATTCAGCTTCGTAAATTACGTCCACGGATAGTCTCGCTGGACCACAGAACAATGCCACTGTTAGAGGATTAACCAAAGTAACCATTTTTACATGACAAAAACGTCCTGTACGACTCATTTCTTCGTAAAGTAACCAATCGCAAGGTATAGTCTCTACATTAGCTGCATGTGTTTGTGCAGACGTCATTCTCGGTGACTTTGGATAATCTCTTAAAGTCGACGATGGATGGAGAAATACCTTTACTTCTTTTCTAAAAAAATTCATTATCGAGGATGCAAAAAGAAGTAATATCGAACTATGCAAAAGTATGTAGAAAAACAGAAACAAAATGACATACTGTGTCCTTAATTGCATATGTTCCCGGTCTACCCTTATTAGATTCGGATATAAACCAGCAGTCAATGCTGCTTTCACTACCGCCCAATTTTCAGAATTGGAATTCAAGTCTCTGATATCTCCAGGTCCCCTAGCCCTAACAAATCCGGATGCACGAAGTTGGCC